CATCAGTCCTTTTTTCTGCTCTGTTGTCAACATGTACAGTAATGTGAAATCCAGTGTCTTGACTGTTTAGCATTAGCCGTTAGCTTCTCCAGCCGATCATACGGTCACGTGGTTTTTGCGCACTCCAGCTGTTCTATAGAACCTCCTTGCAGCGGGCTCACCGAGACCACCRGGTCCGGCTGGGAGGAAAACAAGCGGCGCGTGGAGGCGGGGCGTGACTCACTTTCAACATGTGGTATCCCACGATGCATTTGGACTTGATGAGGACCTGGTGGATCATGGCGTAACCGTGATAACAGTCCATTTCGTGGACGCGGTGCTGGTTGTGCTTGCACAGAGAGAGCAGCACCTGCAGGGCCAAGGCCTGGGTCTTCTCACAGTCACTCAGCTCCACCGTCTGAACGAAACAAAGAAAAAACAAACAGATTCTGTGAGCTGATCTGGGCCGAAGTTCTGAACGACGGCGGCGGTAAAATGAAACCCAACCTGTGCGAAGAGGAAGACGAAGGTCCCCGTCCCTCCGATCCTGTGCAGGACGCTCTGCAGGCCTCGGGTTTCGCTGGGAAGCAGAGCCCTGAGGGCGTCGGGGTCCAGGGACATGCTCTGGACCTCCTTGGAGCTGAAGGGCCGCTGGGTGACSGTGGTCTTGGTCTGACCCTTCAGTCTGATGACGGGCTCGTAGATGGTGTAGACCCTCGGGCTGCTGGGGGCGTACACCACCGCCAGGCTCTCCTGCACGCACACACAACACGCTCCTTTGTTACTGATTTATAAACTCTGTGAAATTCTACACGAGTGAAACACAGAGGAGGTCGAGCTTTTATCACGTTTTATACTTTTCTGTAGTTTTTCATCRTTTAACTTCTTGGTCTTAGTTTAGTTCTTCATGTACAAAACCTTCGGCTCATTCAGGAGATGGCAGCTTTGACTTTTAATTTTTGTAACTTTTAAATATTCCAAGACATTAACCTTTATTTACAAATAATTTCTACTGTACAAAAACAAATAATCCCACAGAAACATTRTTTTGTTTAGTTTTGTGTTTTAATTTGCTTCAGCAGACTATATGTCGTCTTTAGCTACATTCTTGCTACTTAGGCTTTTAGACAGCCTTTTGCCAGTGATTATGTTTTAGCTACTCTTTAGCTACTGGAAGCTTTTATCTAGTATTTAGCTCCTTTTAGCTAGCATTTTGTTATCATTTAAATGCAAYGTTTTGCTGTTTTGTTGCTTTTTACAAGTGTTTTGTTGTGTTTTATAAGTGCTTTGCTGCTTTTCGGCTTAAGCTAGCACTTTGCTGCTGTTAATGTTTCAATGWTTTTGATCAMTATTGTTTGAAATTAATATTATTTTTTGCAAATGGGGCAGATAAGATTTTTCTCTTCTTCTGCTACTTTTCATTTTATTTCATTTGTATTGTTCTGTTGTATATAAATGTGTTTTGTTTTTGTTTTTTTAATGAAATGAATAAAGTTAATAATTTTAGCTACTATATAGCTACTTTAAGCTTTTAGCTATAACTTTTTTACTATGGCTTTATTCTAAGACTTAGCTGTTTTTTGCGAGCGTTTCATTGCTTTTTGGCTTAAGCTAGCATTTTGCTTCTTTTAGGTTTCACTAGCATTATGCAGCTTTAGCTGCTTTTAGGCTTTAGCTAGCATTTTGCTTCTTTCAGATGTAACTCAGTTTCACTAGAATTTTGCCAGAAAAACTTTTCAGGTTTTATTCTCTGAGCAGTGCAGCAAATATATAAAAAAGTGATGTTTTCAAATATAAAAAACATTAATATTTTTTTACTTCGGCTTTTAGCCAGCCTTTTAAAACTGTTAATGTTTTAGCTTTTGTTTGCTACTTTTTTCTGCTATAMCTAGCATTGTTGTAACTATGGCTTAAATTTAACATTTTTCTGGTTTTTATTGCTTCTTCTCAGCTTAAGCTAGCATTTTGCTACTTTTAGGTTAGACTAGCATTATGCAGTTTTTGCTAGTTTAGCTGCTTTTAGGCTAAAGCTCACATTTGCTTCTTTCAGCTGTAGCAACTCAAGTAGCTTAAAATGCCATTTCATTGTTTATTTTTTAATGCGCGCAGCTATAAAAATATTTGTTTTAAAATATAAAAATAGTTTCAGTTTAAATGAAACATGCAGTATTATTTATCACAGCTGTGGTTAATGCTTGAAAGATAAAGCAACATAATAAAAAAACACTATATAACTTTTTATTGGTGATAAATTATAATTACTCGTTAAAACAAACAAAGACTCACAACCAGAGCTGTTGTGTCGATATCCTTGTTCTTCATCAGAATCTCTCGAACTCGTTCGCACCTCAGACCTTCCTGGGAGACGAACTTGGAGAAGGACCCGCTCGGCTTGCCGTACTTGCAGGGCATGATTGACGTGAGGTCCGGTCCACGGGAGTACAGGTAGAAGGCTTCTTCAGACCCGATTCTGGACCCTGWCAAAGGAAATAAGACATGTTGTTGTTGGTTTTTTTCACTCCAAAACAATACAATAACTGTTTAAATCATTCCATCAATAACTTTAGAAAAACAGCTTTGATGCAACGTTAACATCAAAGTACCGTGCTGTCTTTTGATGTTTTTTTTTAAAGACTCTTTGATCCTTTTGAACCCAAGGCTTTTTACTGAATAAATAAAAACTAAAACACCGGAAAACAACCAAACAATACCGGAGTTTTAAATTAACATCTTGTATTGAGAACCTATAAGGATCTGTGAATCCTGTTTGTTAAATAAGAGTTTGGCGCCAGCAGGGAGCAGCACTGAGGACAAACGTAAAGCCAAACGGGACAGGAAGCTCACCGTTGAAGAGCAGCACGGTGCCCATGCTCCACGCTCGGCTCTGCCTCAGCAGCTCCTCGGAGAACGCTGCACACTGACCCAACATGCAGAACGTTTTGTTGCTGTCGGACGACAAACTGGACCTTCTCGGCAGGGTGAAGTCCAAAGACACTTCACATTTCCTTAAAAAAAAGTGTTATTTTTTATTTCRTCAGCTTCGTCAGAACAACTAAACTTTACATTTCAGGTTCTCACCGGATGCCGCACGTCCAGACGACCACGCGGCCGTGGACGTTCTTCTTGCCCTCCGGCTGCTGGCTGTAGGTGATGCTCAGGTGCTGCCACTGTCCCCGTTGGAGCAAACCGTCTCCGGACTCGGCCTGCGCCAACAGGCCGGCTTTTATCTCGTCGTTGGGATCGATGCAGATTCTGTCAGAGCAGAAGGAACCGTTCAATATTTTAACAGATCAACCCATGCTCACGGTACAAGCTGTGGGTCGGTCTCAGCTGCTAACGCACCACATTTTAGCTCAATATTTGTAAAATTTGCAGAGTTGTTTTGTGTTAGCTAAGTCTGCTTTGCTGTGGCGGCCATCTTGAATCATGTTTGTCATAGACTGTGTCCTTCGAAGGACCTGGCCTATCCAGTCTAGGCTGAGTTCTCTGTAGGAAGCAAAGTCGTCTTGCAACCGTGACGACATTAAACAGATGCAACGAAAGTTGAAATTACAAAGAAAAAATATATTATAAATGAATAAAATTTGTTCAGCTGTAAAATGTGATGAACTACTGGACCTGCAGTATGAGCTCGTTTACAGTGATGTCGTCACTGTGAAGTAAACAGCCTTTGAAGGACGCAGACCCTGCTATTGGACGAAGATCCTGATTTCAGACACAAACCCTGATTTCAGACACAAACCCTGATTTCAGACACAGACTGATTTCAGACACAGACCCTGATTTCAGACACAGACCCTGATTTCAGACATAGACCCTACGTTTGGACAGTCTGAGCTCACCTGAAGGTGAGGGAGCCTGTGAAGAAGTCTGCCCAGACCTGAAGCATCAGGGCCTTGGAGCCCATGGACAGAATATGAACGAGACCCTCCTCTRTCTTTGTTCTGGTCGGAGCGGGGGCTCGGTGGGACTCGGCTGCAGGGGGACAGCTTTCTACTAGGAGAACAAGGCAAAACCGTGTCACGTTTACGGACAGGAAGCAGGAAACATTCCCTCCGAGTCCATCTGCGTCTCACCCTTGCTCACGCCCCTCTCCTCCTGCTCGGCCACCCTCAGCCACATGGAGGCGCTGAAGCCACTGGCCATGTGGGGCCAGCAGTTCTGCCCCACCAGGGGCAGGTGGAGAGGAGCCACGTGCCATGGCGAGGAGCGGAGGTGGCTCGGCCGGCACTCGGCGTCCCCCTCCCTGCGACCCGGAGACAGCTTGTTCTTCCAGAGCAGGCCGCCGCCGCCGCTCTTCCCTCCGGGGGCGGAGCTCTGTCTGGATCCGGGAGACAAGGCTGCCGGTGTGGAAGTCCCCAGGACCACCGGGAACATCAGGAAGTGAAGCGGCTCTACGCTCATGTTGGCTTCAACGATTTGTAAAATACCTTTCAGTAAAACATCCTGWTGAAGTAAACAAAAGGAGACGTTAACCCTTATTGACCCTTTGACCATAAATAAAATGAATAAAGCAGGGGCGGAGCCAGGGGTGCCCATGGCCACCACAGACAAATCTTTGGCCACCCTGCACCCCTTCCACAGTGAAACAACCATTAAGGGTGTAATAATCCTCCTGAACAGTTGGTGGCAGTGTGTAACAGTTTGAAACATCACCAAGCTCTATCACTGAAGAAGAGTAATGACAAGGAAGTGATGTTTTCTTTATTTACAGAACATACGCCTAATCTGACTTATGGTGACAAATGCTTTTTTTGTCACCATAACACAGTGTCATTTTATTCTGAAGGCTGCATGATGCTCTGTGTTTATTATGAGTAGACCTATCACTAAATCAGAAAAAGTGAAACACTCCTCTAAACTCACTAAATTCATTGGGTAAAATTTTTAATGTTAGTTTTAAACATGCAGGTGAGTAAATCTCAGCCATAGCAGCGAGTTTAAAAACAGGAAGATGGAACTAGATTAATGAATAATCTGTCTCTGAAATAACTTTTTAAATTAAGTGTTTATTCATGTAGGGAAAAGTATGTTCAACAACCTGGTAAAATACACCAAAATGCAGGAAATGGCCTCTATTTTGTTCAAACCTTTCTGGGGGAGGACCCCCAGACCCCCCAACAGTCTGTCCTCCCCACTTTTAAAATGGTTCTGATGCCCATGCTTATAAGGTACTCACTGCCTGTATAAAGACATAAGGAAATGACCAAAAGACAAAGATTTGCAGAAAACTTTTAAGTAAAAAATTATGCAATGTTTCTGGCCACCCCTGTGTGAGTAGTGGTCCCAGTCTGACCACCCCTGTGTGAGTAGTGGTCCCAGTCTGACCACCCCTGTGTGAGTAGTGGTCCCAGTCTGACCACCCCTGTGTGAGTAGTGGTCCCAGTCTGGCCACCCCTGAGAAAAATGTCTGGCTCCGCCACTGAAATAAAGTTTCATGTATGTGTTTGCTGAGGTTCATTAACTGTGAGTTATTCAGCCAATTATCAGAGTTTCATTAAAATCTGTTCATTCTTTCATTTATGAGATATTTTGCTAAGTCTGCAGACAAATGAACACAAACATGATTATTTTTTTAAACATCTTTAAAAATAGACTCTTTCAGACATAAATGACTCAAACGCTCATTAAGATCCGTGAAGTTCTCACTTGTTAACACGAATATAAAAAGCAGCGTTAAGTGTGGATGTGTTTTAAAGAAGCACAAAGTGAGAAGACAGCGCGACAGGAAGTCTTACAACTGAGTTCTCGTTTCTGTGAATAAAGTGTAAAAAAAAAAAAAAACGAGTCATTTGTGGCTGAACTCCACGCAAACGCTGCACCTCTGGGTGACCGGCGGAGGGGAGGGGATGACATTTACCGTGGGAGGGGTCTTCTCCAGGAAGAGGCGGATGAACAGGGCCAGCTCCTCCGCCGTGATCCGCCGGCTCACCATGGCAACCAGCAGCTCCACCAGCACGGTCTGGCAATCTGAAGGCGGACCAATAAAGAGCAGATTACATCAAGGGTTTGCAGAACACCTCAGGCTGGAGACACACAGGAAACAGAACCGCAGCACGCTTTGCTTCTGGCTCATAACACAAACATTAGAAGGAAAACTAGAAATTTATTCAATAAATGTTAAAAAAGGTGCAGCTGCGGCTCAAAACCTCTCAGAAAAATCAATCACAGGAAGTGTAAGGATGTTAAAGCTGCTGGTGGTRGCTCATTGTGGTCACCATGGTAACCACACACCTGTGTCTCTCACTCCCTGACTGCCAGCTTAATGATGGAAAAACGAAGCATTAAACAGTCGCTGCACAAAAATTTTAAGTTAGATTTTTTAAATTCTTTGACATATTTGAATTTTTTTTTTCTTTTCAACCCATCTGTTTGTTTCTGAGGAACAGCAACAACGTTCCTGAGTCAGTTTGATCCAGGGAATGTTTAAACGTAATATTGTCAGAAACATTTTTGTTAGAGGTGCAACGATACAGAAGATTCACGATTCGGTTCGATACTTTAGTCTCACGGTTCGATATTTGTCCATGCCCTTCTTAACTTGTAATTTATTTAAATTAATTATGAACATTTGTTTAACCTCATAAGTACTGTTTTTAAATTAAATGTTGCTGAAACAGCAAGTTTCTCAGTGGATCTGCGCTCAAAAATACAGCCTAGGTAGAGTAGTTGAACACAGATCCACTGATCCTTCAACACAGAGCATCTTCAGAAGCTGATAAAATATTTGTTAAAAATCTGTATTGTTTCATACATAGTGAGTAGAACCTAAAGCACTGTATTGAACAGTTTGATAGATACATGTATCGTTGCACCACTAATTTTTGCATCTGATTATTAACGTCATTAATGACCATTTCAATCAATATTTGTGAGTTGATGTTTATTTCTCATAGATAAAGGATCAATGAGGACCAGTCACTCAGTTTTCAAAAAAATACGTTACAATTTTTTATGTCCACTGAAAAAAAAAAAMCTACAAAAAAATGATTATACATGAAGTTGATGCTTTTAGATTATATATATATATATATATACATATATATATACACATTTTGAGCTATGTAATATGTAGATGCAGGGGGGAGTTGCAAATATGTAAAATGAACTATTTTCATTTTATATGTTGATTAAACTAATATGAAAAGTTCAAAAGACTTTTCACTTCCAGTCTTGAGGAGAACATTTTGAGCTAAACTAAAGTAGAGCTGCACGATATATCGTCGTCGCACTGCAATGTCAGAGGCAAATTAAATCAATGTGTTATTTAGAGACTAAACTATTAAACAGAAAGTCATTACACGGCTTTTATTTTGACGAGTCGCTTCGCTTAAAAATAAAAAAGTTAAACTTTTATTTTCTTATGAAACTTCTGGGACAATAAAGGCAAAGTTTTCAGAGAAGTGTTGTCTGTGAATTCTCCAGCTGTGGAGGAAAATAAAAATTAGGAAGATGAGCAAATTTTACCAGAGAACTGGAGGAAAAGAGGTCAAACACAGATAGCATGAATGCTAATATTAAAGGAAACAGAGTACTGTATATGTTCATGTATAATACTAGAAATGTAACCCTAAAAATCATCATTAAAGTGTGTGTGTGTGTGTGTGGGACACATTTTTTAAAGGTCTTTTTTTTCTGCTTCGGCTGAAAAAAGTGGGCCACACAGATATTGGAAGTGGGGGGGGGGGGTAGTATTATACACAGGTTATTGATGATTAGATTTTTTTATGCTTTTTAAGCTCAAAAATCGAGACTGTATTATACATGAATAAATATGGTAAGTGTTAGGAAGTAAAACAATTCACGTTTGCAGATGATRGAAGGAAATATCCTCAGGTTGCAGAACAATAAGAACTCAAAGACAAGAAATATACTTTAACACGCTTAYAAAAGAGGTAGGATCAATGCAGGTTCACCGTCAACAAGACGACAGAACTTAAACGTAAAAAAATATCACAATATCGGGTTTGAAAAAAATGTTAGTTTTTTCCAATATCCTGTAGCCCTAAACTAAAGTCTTTGGAAGTTTGTGTTTGAACTCTTTTTACGGAAAGAAGACAAAAATATCCAGATGTGTGTGTAAGAGTCATTGACAAGAAATATGGTTTTAAATGACAGATGTGAGACAAATTTCCCAWGAATTACTAAAAGTAGCTTTTCTAAACATCACTCTGAACTCAAGCAGGAAAGRAAAAGAGCTGAAGGAGGGAACATTTACCCCGTGATGCCTCATGTGAAGAAGAAACATAATAATCAGAGATAAGACGAAAATAAAACAGAACAGTTTACAAACCTGTAAAAGACGGGTCTGTTTGACTGAGGATGTTGTAAAAACCACATAAGATGGTTTTGACTCCTCCCTGTGGGAAAGCAGAGGGACAGGTTTCATTTTTATTAAAGAGAAAGACAAACGTGGGTCAACGCGGGACTAACAGGAAGCAGTATCCAGCCTGACCTGGTCGTAGAGCGAAGCGGCGTTGCGGCAGTTGGCGTGCACGGCGCCCAGCAGGCTGTGGAACACGTGGCCCAGAACCTCCAGGTCCGGAGAGCCGGAGGCGAGGAGCTGCAGCTCCATGGTGCAGATCTCAGGGAACAGCAGCGCGCCACGCCCCGGCCCGTCCGCCGCCGTCGAAAACTCGCACAACCCGGCCGGCTCCACCTTCCCTGCTGAAAATAAAAGAACGAGTCAGCGAGGAGGACGCAGTGAGACGTGAAGACGATGAACGTAAAACACTCTCTGCTTCGCAACCCAGACGTCTCCTGGCGTTTGAGGCAGAATTGAATTTACGCTCTGCCTCAGAGCAGCGGGGGAGTTCCCTCGTGATTTACAGGCGTGCAGCTCAGAAAGGCCACTTCTTTTATCGAGTCACTCCTTTCCTAGTGCACGTCTACAGTCTGCCACCAGGTAACACAAACACACTAAGTAACACAAACACACACAAAGCTCTAAATTAAAAACAGTCGAGTAAAGAGGGTCTGAAATCCTAAGCTGAAAAAGACCCACGGTCACTTCCTGTCACCCTCAACGCCCTGTTGTTCTGCTGATTAGGTTTGGTCTGTGGTTTCATTAAAGCCAGCAGTTTTCCTAGATCCAAACGATCTCTTAGACCTTACATAAATTATTATGAAAAGGGGAAAATACAGATTAAATACCACAAAGTTTACCGAAACAACAAAGAAAAATGATATTTAGTTGATTTTGTTTTTACAAACAAAAGGTCTTTAGGGAGTTAAAATGTTCAAAAATCTTTATTTCAAGATGAGATCGTGTTAAAAGACGTTTGTTGTGGACTAAAATATTTAAAATATATATATTATAAAGCAGTTATATAACTTTATCAATGACTCCCCTAAGGAAGTTTAAAGGGATCCCTGATAAGTTGTAACATTAGACTTTATTTGATAAAAATTTATTTTAACTGTAACATAAAAACTGTAAAAATACTGTAGGATGTTTAGTTTTTATCATTTTTAAACAAAATTTTTCAAAATAGACCTCAGTTTAGTTTGTTAGTTTGTCGCGCTAGTGCCGAGCTAATACATATAAGGCAATATAGCGTCGGGGCTAATGCTAAAGCTAACAGGCTAAGCTGAGGTTCTTCTTCTATGAAGCAGCTCTGTTGTCCTCCATCCATATTTTCAGTTCCAGGCTGAGTCATTTCTACCTTCTCCTCTCTGTCAACGCTCTCTGGTTTCATTTAAAAGAGTCGATCATCAGATATTGTCCAAGATTAACCTTCAGGGTGGATATAGCTCGCTAGCAGCCTYGCACCGAGGACCTATCCACGTCATCATTTACCCAGAATGCTTTGCGTGTAAATAAAATGACCCCATCCATGTTAAAATATACTTTTAAATTTTTACAAAACTAAACAGCCTACAGTATTTTTACAGTCTTTATTTTACAGTTAAAATAAATGTTTTTCAAATAAATTCTAATGTTAAAACTAATCATGTATCCCTTTAAGGCCTTTTGAGGTTTAATTTAAATCATTCAGAACTTAAATTTTCACTCTGAATTTTTACAGAAAATGCATTTTCTGATTCTTTTAAAAGCTGAACTTTGCCTCTCTGCTACGCTGTTTTTAAGAAACAGAAGCTTAAAAATCAAACTGCGCCTTACTGCTCGGAAATGACCAATTTTCCAGCGTGAGTCTAGTTTAAAAACATCCCCTCGGTCCCTGTGATGTAAGGGGGCTTCAAGAAAGCTGAAAAATCTTCATCTGACCGAGACGTGGAGTCACAAGATGAAGCTTATGAGGCCAAAGAGCCTCGCTGCCAGCGTTTAAAAAAAAAACAAAACTGAAACAACGGCTCTATTCTGAGGGCATTAAAGTGAAAAATGCGTAATCAGGCGAGAGGCTCGGCCATTTTCTGCCATGTCATGTGTGCGCAATAAAAAGTAGCACCTTCTTATTGCTAAACATCTTTAGCAAGCCACCAAAGGAGGATGTTGGTTTTTGTTTTTTGACTTAACAAACAGTTCCTGCAGAAAAAAACTCAAAGTGCAGCTTAATTTGGAACACTGGGAAAYGAAAAGACAAAACAAGATTTCCCAAGACCCCAAAAAATCAACGGGGGTAGAGGTTGAGGCCGGCACATGACCTCTGAATCAATCAAGATTAGTTTGATGATGTTTATCAACAGAAACATGTGGGGCAGACGGAGCTCCTCCGGTGACTCAGAGGATTTCTACAACAAAACCAAGGTTGGAAAAATGAGGGTTTTTGGTTTAAAGTAACCAGAAGGTGAGCGGTGAGGTGGTGTAAATGCTTGGCTGAGCGTGGACCTACCCTCTTCCTGCCTGGCCATGTCTTCTGGGTTGCTTTCACTATCAGCGTCGTAGCCCTCCTCCTCCCCCGGGAGCCTGACGCTGCAGCTCTGCACCTCATCCACCTCCTCAGACAGATCGCCTGCCGGGGCCGCCCCCTCTGCAAGCACCTGGAGCTTCTGAAACAACAAAACAAACAAACCAAGAAAGGAATTTAAAAACAGCACGAGCTTTAAAACACAAACAAAAACATCCATGGCTTCCGATTTTTTTATTTTTTTTTTTTGCATTTTTGGCAAAAGCTCACCAAGAAAATCCAAGAAAGAAAAAGTGCTTTTTAACCTCCAAGTAAATCCAGCATGACAAGTAGTGGTCTTATGTGGTGAATAAAAGACGAGGGGAAAAAAAAGTACAACATTTTGGTCATAAGACAAATATCAGCTGACCTGTGAAGCATGCACACAGCCCAGATCCTGGTCCAGTTCTCACGATATCAAGGCAACAACTCATAAAAAGCACAAAAACATCGTAAAATAATCGAATAAAAGGGCAAAAAGTCACATAAAACAAGGTTAAAYAGCCTAACTGTGGAAGCTATTTGCGGGACGGTAAAAGCCAAGCAGACAAGCCGCTCTGACAGTCCAAACTTGGTTGTGTGCAGCAAATATTTGTGACGATTAAGTGAACATCACACTCTGCTGGGCGAGCAGAGAAAGAGCTCTATAAAAATCTCCTGAGTTAGACGTTAAGATGAATCTGGGGCCAAAAAAAAAAAACAACAACTACGAGACGGCGGGGGCCGGTCCAGCTTTATGATATGAACAGCCTGAAGGGATGATATCGTCTTTAAACACCTTTCTCTACACCGGGTCGTAACCATTTATTGTCTGAATCCTGTAAATGAAACTGAACGAAGCCGGCAGAAACCATGTGACGAAAATAACAAGAGGGAGCTGGTTCAACTAAAGAACCCTCCCTAAAATATTCATCAAAATAAAGTTGTCTGGATATGTAGACGCTGCTAAAAGCACCGACGATGACATAAAACTGAGATAATCTGCAGCTCGCTCTGCAGGAGAGCTACACTGTTCACGTCAACTGTTTTATTGTTGAAAAGACAGATAACTGCTTAGCAACATAGAGRAAGGGTAATAACAGATGGAAACTTGTTTTTTATTTATGCTCCTGTCCTTCAACAGCCTCCACTGCTCACTAAACAGAAGCAGACTAGTTGTAACATTAAGACATAATGTGATAAACATTTACTTTAACTGTAAAAATAATGTGGACYGTTYAGTTTTTATGAATTAAAAACTAAACTATCACAGGGATGGTTCCATGTTGTTCACGTTACAAATAGTAAATGATGACATTTACTATGTGAGAGGCTGAAGGTTAATCTTGGACAATGTTTGACATTTAGTTTGTGCTAATGCTACATCGCCACAGATATGTATTAGCTTGGGTGCTAATGCTATATCATTATATACTGTATATATTTGTATTAGCTTGGGCGCTAACACTATACATATATATATGTGTGTGTGTGTGTGTGTGTGTGTGTCTAACTAGTCGGAGTTCCCTTTAAGGGTCATAACACAAAGGCCTTATATCTGACCTGCTAAAAATTGTCTTCTGTCTCTGGCAGCTTTTAAATAAACCTTAAATTAGCACATGTTGGGAGACAGAGTGCTGTGGCTTTTGGTCATGTAAGTGGCACAATGTAAGCAAAATTCACAAGATAATGTAAGAAACAAAAGAGCAAAAATCAGATGTTGATATTAAATTATAAAAAAGAAAAAAAAAACTGAAKATTCAAACATGCAGCTGCAGAGCCTGGATCTCCTCAGGCAGGACTCACCCTGTCCGGCTTCTCCTCGATAACATCGGTACACGAGGACACCTCAGCCAAGGCCACGCGCAGGAGAGAGTCAAACAGGGGAACGGCAAGGTCAGAGTTCACCACCCCTGAGCGAGACAGCTGGTCTCTAACCGCCAACAGTGTGTCCTCAACAGACTGGAGCTAGAAAAACATTTACATTTAACAGATGACTTGAAGAGTTCGGGTGAATTATATTTAATAAGCGATGTGTTGACAGGAACATACCTGGGAGGAAGGCTCCGGTTCTGTTCTCTGCATGGCCGAGTTAGCGCTGTGTAGACAGATGGCTAGCAAGGCCTCGAGGAGGCGAATGCTTTGTAGCTGCCACTCTTCTTCCAGCCTCTTCGCTGGATCTTTGCTCTTTGCTTCAGCTGGACCCCCCAAGTGAACGTCGGAGGACTCACGAGACGTCTCCTCCGGTCCCAGCGACAAGGCTGGAAGMGTGGACTCGGGGCTGCCTTTCCCTCTGCCGTCTCTCTTCTTCTTCGCCTTGCCCTCCTTGGTTTTGCAGGAGAGTTTCTGGATGACCATGGTCATGAGGCGCAGGCACACCTCCAGGCCGCCCAGCTTGAAGAACTGCCTCTGGAAAAAAGGGCTGGCCATGTAGATGAGCCGACACACCGACCACACGTCGGCGGCGCGGCGCAGCTGCTCTTTGGAGGGCAGGGCCACGCTGTCCAGGGACAGGTAGGGCAGCCGCCCGCCCAGGGGCTCGCTCGCCGTGCTGTCGTAACCCGACGTGTCCTCCGAGTCGTTGGCCGAGTCCCGGTCAGAATCGGCCTCTTTGCTAACGCAGAGGAAGGCCACGCAGAGGAAGAGGTTGATGACGTGGAGGTGGATCTCCGTTCGGCCGCGGCCCTGCCCAACATGGCTTTTATAAGACGGGTAGGCCTCCTTCAGGCCTTCGTAGAACTTGCTGAGACTCTGCGGGCCCTCTCCGGCCCCGCGGGACCCCAGTTCGTCGGCCGGGCCTAGGGCGGCCTCCCTGTCTTTGGTGTCGGAGCTCTCCAGTTCCTGGAGGAGTCCATCAGCCTGCTGATGTCCTGCGCCTATGATCAGAGTTTCAAACACCTTCAAAGCCAGAGAACGAGTCTGGTCCAGGTACACCAGCTCTGTCACCTGGTTGAGCCCATTACAGCTGATGAAAAGGTCTCTGACCACCCTGCAGCCAGAAAATATGACAAAATAAAACAGATAAACATCAAAGAACAACAATAAATTGACATGTAGATTATTAAAACCTGTTTTTTCAGACTTCTTATTAAATTAATTAGAATAACCTTTATAATCTACAGAGCTTAGACAATGAAACTGAAACACCTGGTTTTAGACCAGTGTTTCCCAAAGTGGGGTCCCGAATCATCAAGGTGGGGTCCTGAAAGGATTTTTGGAATTAGTTACATTTTTGCCTTGGTTGTTACAAAGGAGTGAGGTTAGTGTATGTAAAATGTATAAATGTAGTATAAAAATATTGTTACTATGCCCATGTTTAGTTGACCTGATACAAATCTTTATCATCAAAAATAGTTGGGGGCACAGGTCTCTGCTACTGTTATTTTGTGGGTCAAAAGCTGAAAACTTTGGGAACCACTGCACTTTGGTTCCCAAAGTTGGGCTTGGGACCCAATTATGGGTCATGAAGCACCTTGGATAATCTCCAGAAATCAATTTAAAGGGTAATAAAATAATTGCTGATGTAATATTTTCCCTATAAATATTACAAAAACACAAAATAAGTATAAATAAGTATTTATATTTGTGTACAAGCTGTTTGGATTGTCAAAAAGCCTGTGTTTTTAGGGTTATTAACAAAGTTCGTGTCCTCAGACCAGTAATATTTGGGGTCACAAATTTTTGCCATGAATATTTTGTGGGTCAGAAGACAGAAAATTTGGGAACCACTGCTTTAGACCAGAACATCCCTTTCAGACAGCTTCCTCTTATGTCCACAGTTAATCCTGTTGGATGTGGTTGGTCCTTCTTGGTGGTATGCTAACATTACCCTGGATACCATGGCTCTTACATCACAAAGACTTGCTGTCTTGGTCACAGATGTGCCAGCAAGATGTGCACCGACAGTTTGTCCTCTTTGGACTCTGGTATGTCACCCATAATGTGTGCATTGCAATATTTTAAGCCAAACTGTGCTCTTACCCTGCTAACTGAACCTTCCCACTCTGCTCGTACTGGTCCAATGTGCAATTAATGAAGATTGGCCACCAGGCTGGTCCAATTTAGCCATGAAACCTCCCACACTAAAATGACAGGTGTTTCAGTTTCATTGTCTAACCCCTGTACTTTTTAAGAGCTCTCAATTCAAATAAGAAACCGAGTCCTGTTTTTCAAGCAGAGGTTTTAAAAGCAGACAGGATGTCTGATAAAAGCGATTGGATCTATTTAGGTCAACTTCAAACTGCAACGCTTTTTGCTCAGATGGTTTTGTGATGATTGGAGACAAAAACAACAATATAAATCCTGTTTGGTTTGATTTAATCGGCTACCTGAACGTAACGACGCAGCGTTAATCAAATTAACTCCGGTCATCCAATAATTTAAAACCAAATACTCACTTTATTATGACCATATTTCAGATAAAATAAGAAACTGATTTGACTGGTCCAGCAGATGGCGCCGTCTAGAGTTCATCTTCAATTTTATTAATACAACAAAAATAAATATAGTACAACGTAAGCTAACAAKGAGTTATTTAAACCCAACAGATGCTAAATACAATATTTAACTGAATATGGCACACATTAAAGACAATGAATTGAAATTATAAGGTTTTATTGATAGTGCTGATTTCTCTTTAATAAAAAACAGATTTTCTTCAAGCTGAGAAAGTGAAGTTATTTTTAATCACCCACAGATTTCCACACGTAAAGATATTTTTAAAGCTGATAATTTAATTTAACACGTGCGTCTGCCTGATGACGGCCTTACATAAGGAGCTGATAATTATCCACCTTTAGCTCAGGTCACAAAGCGATAATAAATTATTGATTAACATCAATTAGCAATGACCTGAAAGGACGGATCTAATGTCGACGTCTGAAGGGATCAAGTGTATGGGATAAATCTTGTGCCAGCAGGAATTTAATTTGAATTGCTCAAATTGAATCTGAATGTAAATAATTTGAAATTGAATGCATTGGTTTGAAAATTAATTTCACTAAATTGAAACTGAATTTAAAGTTTTGAATTTGAATTAATTTGCTTTGAAACTGTATTTTGGTTTATTAAAAATTCAGTTTGACTACTTTCACTTTCAGTTACATAATTCAGATTTTTGTGTCACATCCTGGACCTTGAGAAAGCCAGGCAGAGTAATCAAACACAGATCCACAGATTTATGTTTTACTTTGGTGAAGTTTCACTGCAATCCACTGTAAAAGTGACAAAAACAGTTATTTTATTACAGTGATTAATTTTACCTAAATGTAGAAAATATTACATTTACAATCACATCAGAAGGGAAACTTCACCAAAGTGTGGATCTGTGTTTGATTACTCTGGCTGGTTTTCTCAAGGACCAGGATGTGACATAAAAATCTGATTTATGGAACTGAAAGTGAAAGTAATCAAACTGAATTTTTAATAAACCAAAATACAGTTTCAAAGCAAATTATTTCAAATTCAAATCTTTAAATTCAGTTTCAATTTAATAAAATTCATTTTCAAACCAATGCATTCAGTTTCAAATTACGCACATTCAGATTCAATTTTAGCAATTCAAATACAATTCCTGCTGACACAAGATTTATCCCGTACAGGTGTACTGCTGTGAGCTGACTGGGCGATTATACAACAATGTTTATAAATATGTCGTCTCACCTTGATTTGAGAAGTGCCGGTAACGTCTGCAGGTAGATGAGCAGGACCTCCACGGGCAGGCACTGCGTGTGGTAGCTGCAGACCTGAGTGCAGACGGTAGAGACCCCCAGCTGCTGGGCGTGGTGGACCAGCTCCACCCCCCTCTGCAGCACGGGGTTGAAGATGTGCGTGTACAGCTGCCACTGCACGATGGCGTTGCCCCGCAGGGTCAGGTGGCACACGTGGCCGGCGATCTGCTGGCTCAACTGCCGGTCCTCGCAGAACACCAGCTCCTGATAGGCCTGCAGGGCGTCCCACTTCCACAGCATGTCCTCGGCGCCCCCTCCGCTGGGCAGGATGCCCTGGGAGCGGTAGCGTAAAGTCGTGGAGACGGCCGAAGGTTCTCCCTGCTGCAGCGTCTCCTCCAGGCCCGGCAGCTGGCTGCTGTCCAGTGTGCAGATGTTGCACGAGGCCAGCTTGGCCTTCTCTGATGGCAGACCCCCACCGAGCTGGTCTAGGATCAGCCGCCCCAGCACGCCGAGCACGTGCGACTGGTAGCTGCGCAGACCCGGAGCCTGGAAGGCGTGCAGCATGGGCCCGACGACTGAGCGAGGGTCCATGCAGCAGCAGATCCCGCAGGCCTGGATCCCGGCTAGGACCTGCAGGACCGCCGGCCCGCTGGGCGACAGGCGCTGCAGGAGCCGCAGGCACTGGTGGGTGCAGGCGGCCAGGCAGCAGCAGCGCTCGGGGTAGCGGACGCCGTCCCCCTCCGTCCCGTCTCCTTCCTCCTCGAATGGGTTGCGCCTGGCAGCCTGTTTGAAGGCGGACACGGGCAGACCCGACAGGTCTCTGTGGTGGTGCAGGAAGTGGGAGTACTCGCAGCGGCGGTGGCGGCGCCGGGCGCACACGGATTGATGCAGCTGTTCCGACTTGGACTTCTTGACGGCGCTGATTATTTTGAAGACCCCCGTGATGAGGCCTCGCAAGCGTTCCGACGCCTCTCTGCCTACGTCGGAGTCTCTGGCGCGGCCGAGTCCCTCCAATCGCAGCACGGTGGCCTCGAAGAGCTCGAGCCCCCGGTGCTGGACGAACTCATGGATGAGGTCCAGAGCCTGGCTGAAGAAGAAGGGGTTGGGCGTGGAGGCCTGGAGGCAGCCGAGGAGCACCTGTAATACCCCCTCTAAGAGCTCTGGGAGCAGGAGCGCTCGGTGGCGATAACGGGAGAACGAGAAGTCGTCCTGGACCTCCTGCAGAGTCTTCTTGGGCCTCGGCGCGAACGGGTTCTTCTGTCTCTCCAAGCAGCTTCGTATTTTCAGGGTGGCTCTCAGCAGGTCCGTCAGGCTCCGCCTCAGGCTGTCGGGAAGTTTGTCGCTCCGACTGACATCCACGGACATCAGGTGCAGAATGGTGCGCAGTAACATCCTCTGGACCAGCGCGATCGGCTCCTCCGTCCAACCGCCGGCCAGCTCCTCTGCCCCCGTCCCGCCTCCCCCCACGCCGGGACCGCAGCAGTCCCCGAACTCGGTCAGGATCTCGGTGAGCGTGGGCACGACGCTGACCGCCAGGCCCGGGTTGTGGTTGATGCTCATGTCGAACTTGCAGACCTTCTCCAGCAGGGAGAGCAGCACGTGGCAAAGGTCGAATGGCGAGTTCTCCATGCGGTTAAAAACTGATATGGCTGCCGGGTCCGTCAGGGTTTCGCTGTCCATCATCTGGGACCCGGGGGGTCTGGGGTAGGGGTACGGCGCGCTCATGGTTTCTTTGGTGTTGGTGGCGGTGGAGGTCAGCTGCGACGCTTCCGAGCAGTGGTGCTGGCAGCTTACCTGGAGGGTGGAGCCGTGCGACCTCCTGCTCCTGGCGCCGCCCGAGCCCGGGACGCCTCGGTCCTCGGCGTCTGAATCTGAGGTGGACACCTGGGACTTCCGAGCATCTTTCACAGAGTATCTCTGCGCCGTTCTGCGCGACCGCCTCGACTTCCACGTGCCGCTGCCAGCGCGGGCCTTCCTCCCGGAGCTCGGCTCGTCCGCCGAGGACTTCTGTCCGGTTCTGAGAGGGACGGACTTCAACTCCCGATTCAGGAACACCTCCAGCAGGGACGGCAGGACGAAATCTGTCAAAAACAAAAACTCCCTTAATGTCTAAAACGGATTCTTAACCCATGGACCACGGCCTCAGCGCCACCTTGAGGGCCTCAAAAGAACAACAGTTTTTAACTTTGGGCCGCGGGACTGCATTGATTTTGAAGATGCAATACACTTTCTCACCACTAGTAGCGGTAGTGCACCACTCAGATGTTTAACAACTTTTTAATATGCAGAAGAAGAACCTTAGAAACCTGCCAAGAATGGAAATCTATTTTAAATGAAAAGTAGAAGCAAAAATTAAGGTAACCTGTCAAAAAAGGCCAAAGTTTGTCACTAATATGAAGTACAGCTTCAGTTTTTACCATTCCGTATTTTAAAAGTTCAAAACATTATCAAATACAGTTGCAGATACAACTATATTTTAATTTGCACTTTGTCAAATTAATTTTTGTAGTTTATTTTTAAACATTTTCAATGTATTTTAAAGAAACGTTAAACTTTTCAAAAAGCTGTTGTTACCGTTTGTCACTAATATGAAGAGCAGCTTCTGGTTCTACCATGCAAAAGTTTTAAAAAGGCTGTATTTTCATTTGTACTTTCTCAAATTTATTTTTACAGTTTTCTTATTTGTTTTTCTCATTTCTTAATTGTTTTCTGCTGCCTTTCATTTTATTTTATTTGTATTGTTTTGTTGTATGTAATGTTTTGTTTTTTTAAAATGAAATGAATAAATACTATATATTGAATGTATTTATTTTATGACCACAATTTTATTTATGAAATGTCTATTTTTGTTACTGTTTATGTTTTAAAAATATTTTTGTGTTGATAAGCCTGAGTGGTCTGTTGACTCACCRTTGTATTGGTTCAAATAATTGTTATGGGCAGGTTACAATACTGTATAAACATATTTGTCATAACCATGTCTTGTGATTATTTGACAGGAGTTTTACTTTTAAACTGTAAGTGTATTTTATTTATTTATAATGTAAAAACAATACACATTAAATCAAGATTTAGAATAATTATCGTGTTGATCCGTACGTCTGACTGGGCCTCGTGCCTCTTTTTGTTCAACAAATTGGGCCCCGAGGTCAAAAAGGTTAAGAACCCCTGGTCTAAAACTACATCCTGAAACGTGGCGGGGGATACGCATCATTTAAGTCATCTCTAAGAGTTTAATTTAAACCTGAAAAAGGTTTTAAAGAGTTATCTTCTCTGCCTAACGAGGAGCATGATGCTCAGCTGCGTAAGGAGCTTCTGTAGTAAACATTAATTAAAAGAAAAATGTCTCGGGTCCGTGTTGGAGAAGAGCAGCAGTCCTGTACTAAATGCCGGTGTCGCTCATGGGTCACAAGCTTCTCTAACCGTTTGTCCTCGCCTGATCAAAATTCTCATCAGTGTTCAGAAATTATAGACGCACTGCAAAACGAGTGAAGTGTACTGTGCAGTATTTAGAACTTAAAGTGTTATTTTTGACAGTTGATGGGTAGAAAACACGATATAAAAAGATGATTTTAAAAAAATGCATCTAAAAGGAGACAGTTGAGGTGATTCATSTGATCAGGACGCCTGCTGGACGATTAAAACAAAAAATGAGAGAAGTGTAAAAATGTTCATTGTTCTCTTAAAGTTGAGACAATGACGTCATCGGTTACATCACTTATGCAAATGAGGTCGTTAAGTTTGTTGCTTTTAAAAGCTTCGACTATTTGCAGAACAAAACAAAATGTTTATTTGTGACCCATCGCATCAAACTGAGGATTAMGTCTCAGAGGTTTGCRRARAAATGGGTAAACAGGGTTTTAGTTTAAACATTTGCAACAACTGCATTTTGTCAGAATATAAAGAATAAATAAAATATGACCTTAAAGTGCCTGTGACATTGAATTTTTGTGATAATGTGATTGCACTTTTGGAAAGAGAACATAGATAACATATTGCAAAAGCAATTTCACACCACTGAAATGAACAGTTGTTAAAATGTTTGCATGTGAAGTAACAGGAAGTGATGTCAAAGGGGAATGTCTGCGGCTAACAACACAGACAGCAGGGAATTTTCTGTTTCTTTAGATAATGTTAGTCCCTATAAGAGACAGATGAAGAAAAGTCAAAGATCAAATAATATTGTTTTAATAAACAAAGACAAGGAAGTTTTCTTTCTTAATGAGTTCCCCTTTGATGTCACTTCCTGTTTCACTTTAGCTGAGCCAAATTCGAAGGAAAACACGCCAGTTATGTGACAAAATGGGTTGTATATGAAGATATTTTCTTTGACCTTTTGTATTTGAAGGATAAGCGTCACAGGGACTTTAAAGTATTTTTGAAGCTCTTTTATGAGCAGCAGCAGCAAAAAAAGAAACATGATTTTGAGCAGAAAAACCTTAAATTGTTGTCCTTTTTCATGTGAGATAGCAAAGCTTTTCATCTTTCTAGCAGGGAATTCCTGTTTGAGGTTTCCTGCTTTTTTAAAAAATCCTCATTAGAATAAACTAATATAAGATTCAGACCAAATATCAGTGGGTTATCCTGACTAGGAAGCCAAATCACAGCACATCACATGACGTCAGGATGATCCAGGTATCAAAACGTTTCATAAAAACCAGGAATCACTTTGTAGATAAACAGAGTATTAGCAAAATATYTTATTTACCAACTGTTTAMGTTTCTAGTTTTTAATCGATTGAATCAGGAGACAAACCAACACTACAGAATTGGAACCAGAGACGTAAAAGTTTTTTATAATCTACACAAACGAGTCAGATGTTTTATTTAAAACTAAACCAAAGACAAATTACATATTATTGATTAGAATGGAAATACAGCTTTTGTTCCTGACAAGTAATTACCTCAAATTTAAACAATCACTGAGACAAGTTAATAGATTTCTAAGCAAATCAGATAGTTAACTTTAAAAGTGAACCCAAAACTGTGCTGTGAATGCCAAGGAGGTTATTTAGACCAAATTTGACTTAATCCTGTTTGGGAAGCAGATGGCAGAATATGCGTAAACACAAAACGTGGATTTTATTCTGAAATATGGATTTTATAATAAAAACAACAGTGATGCAGTTTCAACTGTTTCCACAAAATGAATCAGTTTTGTCACATCAGAGCCACAGGAAGTGTAAACTGGGGTTGAAACTTCCTTCACTAACTTTCCTGGAGAGTTTCTTCAAATGGACCAGAACATTTTACATCCCTATTAAAAGGACCTGAGTGCAGTTTAAAATGATGACCCGGTGGAAAACATCAACATTAAACACAGGTAAGAAGTTCAGGAATAACCAGACCTGGAGCTTTCTCCTCCTGCACCGGAATCTTCCAGACCAGCGGGAGCAGCGACAGCAGCAGGGTGAGCAGCTCCTCCCGACACGTCAGCTCCTGAGAACCCGACAGAACACTGAGTTACCTAGAAAGCCTCGCGCTCCGAGTCCACATCGGGACACTCCCAACGAGTCACACTCGCCTCAGCCCTAAAGTCAAACATCCGTCCGAGTTCTCCGTTTCATCTGCGGAACGGCTTTCATCTTAATCCAATTATTTAATCTGATCTAACTTTTTTTTTTTTCAGATACAACTTGTTTGTTTTGGTCTATTATTTCAGCAGCGGAGCAAAGCAGCAGCTACATGACAGAGTGACTTATGAGGACTTTTTAGATGCTGTGTATGCAGAGCATTCCTCCACGTGGTGCTAATGAAAGGAGGAAAAAACATCAACAACGAACCTTTAAAAAAACAGGTTTGAAACAGGTTTATCGCTCCGAAAAACACTAAATACACAGGATAACTCTTTAGTTTGTTTAAATAATGAACCTTTCTGTACAGAACCCTCTGAGTCAACATTTGTTTTCTATAAATATATCAAATGATACATTCAAAACCTGTCTTTTCCTACAGTTTTGCGTAATTCTTACCAAAAAAATGAACCAAATTTTTAAAAAATTGGCTGAAATTTTTATCATTCTACTGATTTTAGTTTACAGTCAAAATGTTATTTAGGATAAAATGGGCATATGTGATTTAAAAAGTATTATTCTGTGTAAAAAAAAAAAGACTAAGACACATTTAAACAGTCAACTGTTGTTTTAGATTTATCTTTAAAAAGCAGAAAGCTAAAGCTGATTTACAACAAAACAGTTTTGTTCTGATATTTTTCACATAAAGTCTAATTATAAAAGCTTAACGTAAACAAATATTTAACAAAGAAAAACAAGAGACACATCAGTGTGAGAACGAGCAGAAAGACCTAAAAACCCTAAAAATTCTCTTCTACAGTCAAACATTTTTATCATTGAGTTTTTACCACGTTGGACACAGCCGAAGCACACAGCCGAAGCACACAGCCGAAGCTCGTGATCACAGCTGGCACAAGAAGGACTTTTTAAATGATGCGCTAAACGCTTTAATTAAAATGAAAATATTAAAACTGAGTGTGAAACTAACAGGAAGTGATGCAGACACACAAGGGGACTTCCTGAATGAGAATCAAAACATCAAAAGATCGTGGCTCTGCTGGTCCGGTCTGAAGACTGGATCAGTACAGACCGGACCGGACTGTCGGAGCCTGGTTCTGGCTGCAAGAACAAACAATACTTCCTTCTGTGAAGCTGCTGTCATATAACACGAGCACCTCAACACAAAGATCACAACTCGCTGTTAGACGCAGCAAAGCTTTGTTCTCTTTTACATTGTCAAATAAAAAGCTTCACATCCAAAAAACTGCTCAGCATCAAGTTTTTCTTTACCTGGTCGATGATGGCGTCCAGGGTGCTGAGCAGCAAGAAGCCCCGCCCCCTGACCAGGTACTCGCCCAGCGCCACCATGTGACTCTCCTCCTCTTCTTCCTCCCGGGCCTCGGCCCTCTGGGCCACAGCGCTGCACAGCTGATGGACGTCAGTGAGGAACTCTCTCGCCAGAGTGTTACTGGCTCCACTCATGTCTGAGCTGTGAGACGAGACAGGAGAACACCAGAGAACATCAGAGAACAACAGAGAACACAGGAAGACCATCAGAGAACACAGGAAGACCATCAGAGAACACCAGAGAACATCAGAGAACACCAGAGAACAACAGAGAACACAAGAAGACCATCAGAGAACACAAGAAGACCATCAGAGAACATCAGAGAACACAGGAAGACCATCAGAGAACACAAGAAGAACATCAGAGAACACAAGAAGAACATCAGAGAACACAAGAACAGAGAACAGAGAACATCAGAGAACACTAGACAACAACAGAGAACAACAGAGAACACCAGAAGAACATCAGAGAACACCAGAGAACATCAGAGAACACCAGAGAACAACAGAGATCACAAGAAGACCAGAGAACACCAGAGAACAACGGAGAACACAAGAAGGAACATCAGAGAACACAAGAAGAACCTCAGAGAACAACAGAGAACAGAGATCAGAGAATGACAGAGAACATGAAAGACCACCAGAAGAACATCAAAGACCACCAGAAGAACACCAGAAAAACATCAGTAGAACATTAGAGGACACCAGAAGAACATAAGAACATCAGAGAACACAAGAGGAATATCAGAGAACAACAGAGAAAAACCAGACACCAGAAGAACATCAGAAAAACTTCAGAAAAACATCAGAAGAACACCAGAAGAACATTCAGAGAACACCAGAAGAACATCAGAGGACACCAGAAGAACATTCAGAGAACACCAGAAGAACATCAGAGGACACCAGAAAAACATCAGAAGAACATCAGAGGATGCCAGAAGAACACCAGAATAACACCAGAACAACATCAGAGGACACCAGAACAACACCAGAACAACAGAGGACACCAGAACAACACATCAGAAGAATATCAGAGGACACCAGAACAACATCAGAAGAACATCAGAGGACACCAGAAGAACATCAGAGGACACCAGAACAACATCAAAGGACACCAGAAGAACACCAGAGGACACCAGAAGAACATCAGAGGACACCAGAACAACACCAGAAGAACATCAGAGGACACCAGACGAACACCAGAAGAACATCAGAGGACACCAGAACAACATCAGAAGAACATCAGAGGACACCAGAACAACATCAGAGGACACCAGAAGAACACCAGACGAACACCAGAAGAACATCAGAGGACACCAGAACAACATCAGAGGACACCAGAAGAACACCAGAGGATACCAGAAGAACACCAGAGGACACCAGAAGAACACCAGAGGACACCAGAAGAACACCAGAGGACACCAGAAGAACACCAGAGGACACCAGAAGAACATCAGAGGATACCAGAACAACATCAGAGGACACCAGAAGAACACCAGAGGACACCAGAAGAACATCAGAGGATACCAGAACAACATCAGAGGACACCAGAAGAACACCAGAGGACACCAAAAGAACATCAGAGAACACAGTTAAACATTGTTAAAACAGGCTCACTACATGTCAAGATGAAGTGTGTCACTTTTATTAACTCCATCATTTAGATTATAAACAGACATTTGTCACATTATTCCCCACACGTATGAGTAAAAATACAAACATTGTTCCAGAATTTAAATCTGTTTAGTTAAATATAAACTGAGCAAAAAGTGTAAATGTCTTTTACCTGAATGAATAAAAAGGACAGTAAGTTAAAGAAAAGTCTACAAACTCATAATTAACCCTTTATGAAGAATTGATGAATCCAATAATAAAGTGACCATTATTAGGAAGTGAGTACTTTATTTTTTCTTTAATACTTACTCATATCTGGAAAATAGCAATAACAAAATCTGTATTTTTCAAGACTGCTCAGGAACCTCAGATATTGGGAAATTACAACTCTACGATGAAAAAGCTTAAATTTTAACCGAAGACAGACTCGATCACATCAGTTATTCTGTTCTTCAGCTAAAAGCCAAACGTGCCAAACTGCTATTAAAACCTGATGAAATAATGTTCATTAAGAATAAAAATCAAAGTCAAGGATTGTAATAAAAAGGGATAAGTATTCCTCGATTGTGAGAAAAGGAAATTTTACTTCCTGATTATCAGAGCGTGCCTTTTTAGCGCGAGACCGAGCCGCCACAGCGCTGCCTTCAGCCACGTGTTCGACTATATGAGCTGCACCGAATCACTTATAACTTAAATTCTTATTTAACAACCATCATTTAAAACATGAACAATAACCAACGCTTACATTCATAATTCAGCAGCATAAAACATGAATCGAATGCAGAGAAGCTGAATGAACAGAAGCTGCAGTAAATCTACGCTCAGCTTACCAAATGTACATCTTTTCCATGCTCCAAACATGACTATCTGGATCTTCATACTTCCTCACATGACTGCTGACTGATTTCTCTGTTCCGCAGCACAAATTCCATTAAAATTGGAATTTCAAATGGACGCTTTCCAGATTCCCTGCAGATCAGCGTATCACATGAAAGCATGTGATGTCACATGGCGAGGGRACGGGTCCTGAGCGACCGGTGCCCCGAGCAAGACATCTGTCAGAAGCAGTCAATCACAGTCACTGGTGGGTTTTTTCTTTGTATTTTCCACTACAAATACAAAGAGATTCCTTTAAAACAAACAACTCTTTATGGTTCATTTATCTTTACAAAATCATCCTGTGTGAGAACAATAAAAGTAGAAATAACACTACGATTTTTATTATTTTTAGTCTCCAAGTTTCAAATAAGCCCCGCCTCTCTGTGTAAAAATAAGTGGACATTTTTTTCTGACCAAAACATAAAAATACACTTCAGATAAGAATTCAGGTGCAAACACATGGTGTTCAGTGTGTAACACACACAACATTATAACACAATTATCAAGTAGAACCTTTGATCTCTGATAAAGTTTACTTCCTGTCTGGCTGTCGTATAGAYGGACAGATTGGACAACTTCCTGAAGGCTGTCATATGGAGGGACAGATAGGACGACTTCCTGTAGGCTGTCATATGGAGAGAGAGAAAGGACGACTTCCTGTAGGCTGTCGTATGGATGGACAGAAAGGACAACTTCCTGTAGGCTGTTGTATGGATGGACAGATTGGACAACTTCCTGTAGGCGGTCATATTGATGGACAGATTGGACAACTTCCTGTAGGCTGTTGTATGGATGGACAGATAGGACAACTTCCTGTAGGCTGTTGTATGAATGGACAGATTGGACAACTTCCTGTAGGCTGTCGTATGGACGGACAGATTGGACAACTTCCTGTAGGCTGTCGTATGGACGGACAGATTGGACAACTTCCTGTAGGTTGTCGTATAGAGGGATAGATAGGACAACTTCCAGTAGACAGTCGTATTGGACATTTTAGAGGACAACAGTCCAGTGTGTTGTTCCAGAAAGGGTTATCAATCTAGCACTCAGAAAAAAAAAACTGTCCACAGATGGACACACAGAACAAAATAAAACTGACTTTTCTCTGATCTTCAACACAGAAAAAAATAAAGATTAAATCCTTAGAAACCCAGTTTTCCCCTCAGTACACACAATCCCTGTTGATCAACTAATCCAATCTGTAATCGCTCTGACCCCTCCACTTTTGACCCTGAAGTCCTTTCATCATCATCATCGTCATCATCATCACCATCATTAAATATTAGCCAGATACGGGCTGGGTTAGCTCAGCTCCACTGATCCACGAGTAAAACCAACAGAGTGAGGATTCCTGTGTCCAATGGACAGACGCACACAGCCACGACACTGTCATGGAAACAAACAAGCTTTATCCTCTGCATCAATATATCTGGTTGTAGAGCAAACAGTGCGAGTGCGCACACAACGTGTACTTTCCATTTGTTGCTACGTTGTTTACCGTGGATGTTGTGCTTCATCCGTTAGCTTTGCTCACTGAATCAATGAGGAACAATAGACATGAAGGATCTGAGATTTTCATTTTTACATTAAAACAACTGTTACTTTGTGCATCATTATGCAAATTAAGATAAATTAGCATTTAGATGCTGCAAATTTGTCTTTATGGCTCAATTTCTGCCAATTTCTGCCATTCTGATTGATCCATTTAAGGTTTGAGATTTGAAAAAAATAAATAAAAACTGAGGGCATTTTCCACAGAAACTTCAAACGAGATCTACAAAGATCTGAAAGTCTACAGAGAATCTTATTTGTTCTGATTGTATGTTGTTGTTTACTCCAAAATCTGGTGCCAGTGCACCAGAAACAGAACATGAATAACAAAAAAACAAAAAAAGTGTTTTTCACTGAGAAAAAACAGGCCTTCTGAAACTGTAATGACTGAAAAACAAGTTAATTGAGTTTGTGAAATGTTTTCATTTATCTCCTTCCTTCACCTTGAAGTCTGTTAATTACATTTCCTTCCTTTGAAAAGATTTTTAAGAAAGTCTGTGGTCGTCTTCAGTTTCGACAAACATGGAGCTTTTACCCAGTAATTTTAAAACTTTTACACTTCGGGTAAATTATCACTTAARTGCRACCTCCATCAGACTCAGTTAGCTATTTTAGTCTAACCTTGAAAATAACATTATGAGCAATCTCTTGCAATGTTGCAAAATCTCACACCATCTGTTAGCTCATGCAGTAACCTGTGAATGACTCTCAGCTGCTAACACACCAAAGTTTAGCTCAATATTTCAACAATGCTGGTAGATGTACACCAATGGAAGTCCATTGAGATAATGAGTTTTATTGCTTCTAGTACTCATATTTAGCAAGTGGTTTTACTTTGAAATCTGCCTTCAGATCTGAAGTTTCCTGTCTGTTTATTGTGACGACAGCCTCTAATTGCTACTAAAGTCCCTGACCTGCAGAAGGTATATTTACGCAGAACTCTTACCAGAACTTCAGTGCATCTTTGGTGTTTTGGTAGGGGTGGTGCTGCACGTAGTGGAAGAGGCAGAGGAAATTCTCCAGCCTCTGAAGGCTCACCTGATAACAGAAGCACACAAACAAGAAATGAGATTTTTATTTGTTCTAAATCGAAAAGGAACTGAAATAAAGACGAGCTCGACAGGACCGGTTCCTTTTCTCATGAAACACCTACAGGAACATGAAAATTAAAAATGCACCACGATTCCTGCTTTTCTTTTATATACRAGTTGACTGGAGCTAAATTGGGGCCATGAAGTTTGTTAAAAAAAAAGGCTTTTTCAAACTGAAAAAAAAGTGTTTGATTATATGATACAAAAACCTGCCGTATTTTGCTAATTATATGAAACAATGAACTGATGTACTTTGTTATTTATATGATACAACAGCCTGCTATACTTCGTTATATAATGACCTGCAAATGCATCATTAATTATAACAATCTGCCATACATCGTTATTTGTATGATACAACGGCCTGCCATACTTTGTTATACAATGACCTGCCATGCATCATTAATTATAACAATCTGCCATATATCGTTAATTATAACAACCTGCCATATATCGTTATTTGTATGATACAACAGTCTGCCATATATCGTTATTTGTATGATACAACAGTCTGCCATATATCGTTATTTGTATGATACAACAGTCAGCCATACATCATTAATCATACTGACCTGCCATGCATTGTTCAATGAATGATACATGCCATATATTAATTATGTGAAACAATAGCCTGACACACTTTAACTATGATACAACGACCTGCCATAATTTGTTAATGATAGGATATGACCTGCCCTGCATCGTAAATTATAATGTACGACCTGCCCTGCATCGTAAATTATAATGATCTGCTGTACATCATTATTTAGAATGACCTGTCATAAATTATTAATTATGACACAACAACCTGCCATTTTTATTTTTGACATAATGGCCTGCCATATATTTTATACGTGATACAATACTGTCATACTTTGTTAATGATATGATACAACCTGCCATATTTTAAAATGACAATGGCCTGCCATAATTTATTATATGATTATAATAGACTGCCATTCATTATTATGTTATACAACGGCCTGCCATACATAGTTATTTATATGATACAATGGTACTTTATTCATATGATAAAAGTAGTTTACAACTTTTTTCTTTATAAAGTTTTTTTTTGTCAGTTCCAAAATTACTTTGGTTTACAAAACAAAAAATGTTTGAACAAACTTTATGGCCCCAGTTTAGCTCCATACAGATGCTTCATCAAGACATTAAAATCCATTTCCTCTTTTTAACTTCCCAATCTCCTTAAATAAYACTCACAAATAAAAAGAACAGTGTTATAGATTCCTGAAAACAAAGAGCGTATAAAGAATAATGACTGATCCGACAGTAGAAGTCTCCCAGCAGGACTCGTTGAGACACTGGGACTTCCTTAATGATTAGACAGTCCACCTGACCTCCATTAACAGCATTGCTGCTTCCAGGATAATGTGTTAAAGCCTTCCCGGCAGACGTGTGAGTCACTAAACCGGCGTGCTGTTGCCATCGTGCCACACCAGGAGCTAGGTTTACGCTAATCTGACACCACTGAAGGGATTCAATTGAGGCCATGTTGATCCCTGACTGATGCGGCTCCTTTACTGTCTGGGTCAGAAAACCAAACAATGGATGCTACAACGAGGCTTTAAAAACCGTGGATGGGATTCTTGTCAAGTAGATGCTCTCATGGTTGACGTCACTCTCAGGTCAATAAACGACCTGCAGTCAGCTGACGTCAAATCTTCAGCTCGACTCGATGAGAACCTCAGCTGAGTACCGAACAGAAAGACTCAGGACGTGGAAAAGAAAACTAATTAGTCTCAAAGACTGGCATGAATCACAGTGTTGGACACAATTTCACTAACCATCTAATAGCAGAACTAGCTTCTTATTTAGCGAATTAGCTTTTTCTGCTAAGTTTGTAAACCGCTAGCATACCGATTAGCATCCGCTAATTATAAGTGCCATTTATGCCAAATTTAAAAACTATAACTCTTAAGAGTAGTGCTGGAGGTGTCAGGCACTGTGTGCTTAGCATGTAGCATCTTTAGCAGGTAAACTTCAAAATTAAGAGCATCAAAAAGAACTAAAATTACATTCAACGATATTTAAATAATACAAAAACTTTCTATAAATAAAACATGGTGGAAAAAGTATCTGCATTTTGACAAACATCAAATGGTATAAAATACAAACCTGATCAAAGAAATGTTTTTATTCTGAAAGAGGCATACTGGAAGGAGGATCACAAGCTATAAATGGCTTGGATTGGCTGATTTGCCACAGATGATCCCGCCCACCTTCAAATTACCAACCTTTTTAATTACTAACCAATAGACTTCAACTGGAAAGAGATGAAGACGCGTGACAGTCGTTTTAGCGATCAACGTTAGCTTCCACTAATTTTTTTAAATCTGTTTAGCGTTAGCAGAGCTAAGATTCTCGTTTAGCGGATTAGAGGTTTGTGAACTCTAATTTACATTGTCGATGTTCAGCATTTGTCAAAACTAAAAACAACTATTGAGCAATTAAGAATAAAAACACAAGAACTTGCTGCAGACTCTTAAGAAATATTTCCCAAGGAAGAAAATTTAGACACATAGAAGAAAATGCAAACATTTTAACAAACACCATTAATTTTATTTTGCTTTTAAAGACAAAATAAATGTTTAGTTTAGGTTAGGACGATAAAGTTTCACATCTCCAACGTACACTTGCTTTAAACAGCAAGAATCAACTTCCTGCCTTTGTCTCACCTCTCAAAGTCAAGTTTASCCTCTTTTAAAGACATTTATTGATAAATAAAGATCTCTTTTTTATTTTAAATTATCCTGATGCCTGATGATGAAGGTGCAGAGCGGACCACACTCACCGGGGCTCAGAGACACTTCAACAGCTGAGACAACAACCAAACAGCCGTGATGGGATCTGATGGGCAGGTGGGTGGGTGGATGTGGGTCACAGAACATCGGGTGGTCATTTGCAGAAGACAGGAAGGGAGGAGTAAGGAAAACGAACGGGTTATGACTGAGACTGAAGGGGAAAGGTAGGGGAAAAAAAGAGATATGCAACAGTGAGTGCAGAGATAAACACAGGCGGAGCGACAGACAGGAAATCAAAGCTGCCAGTTCAGCCGTGAGTCTCTGCTAAACTCAATCTACAAATTAATCTCCTGAAATGAGAATCTAAACTAACTTATTATCTGCATTCCTGTGTTGTTGTATTCCTCAGACAGCAGGGGAAACTAAATAATTCAAGATAAAACCAATTTTCCTGCGACAGATTTGTTTGTTCCTACATTATAACAACCATCCAGTGTGATTTGATGATGGAGGGGCAGATAAACACAGGCAGGAAGGAAATTAACGGTTTCCGAAGTAAATGTACTTCTGCTGATAGGAGGAGGCTTTTCTCTGGACTCCTTTGATCAATACAGAAAAACTGTTTTATTTTTACAAAAATTTTGTTTTAATCATTTTGTATCATAATCATTTTGTAGATAAACATTTATTTTAAGTACTAGAATATTAAGAGACTGAAATGTACTAATGAGGCAGTTAAAGCTAAACTGAAGACTGGCTTCTTTTAGCTAGTGTTACCATTTTTAGCCAAACACTAACTAGAGAAGCCAAACGCTAGCTAAAAGAAGCCAAACGCTAGCTAAAAGAAGCCAAACGCTAGCTAAAAGAAGCCAAACGCTAGCTAAAAGAAGCCAAACACTAGCTAAAAGAAGCCAAACGCTAGCTAAAAGAAGCCAAACACTAGCTAAAAGAAGCCAAACGCTAGCTAAAAGAAGCCAAACACTAGCTAAGAGAAGCCAAACGCTAGCTAAAAGAAGCAAAACGCTAGCTAAAAGAAGCCAAACACTAGCTAAGAGAAGCCAAACACTAGGTAGAAGCCAAAAACTGGCTAAAATAATCAAAATATTTGCTAAAAGTAGCTTGCTAAAGCAGCAAAGGCCCAGCTAAAAACTAAATTAAATAAAAGTGTAGGCAAAGKTATTAAAAGGTTAGAGGCTTAAAGTAGTAAAGAGATAGCTAGAACCTAATAGAACACCAGCTAAATGCTATGAAGGGATCGCAATAAGTTTCAAAAGGCTAGCTTACATAAAGGCTAATAAAATGCTAGTGAAGCACCATGAGGTAAGAACACTAATAACGAGCTTGCAAACTAAATGCATCAAAAACACTAGGTTAATCTAAAATCAGCAAAAGGCTAAAGGAATAGCCGTCTGTAAAAAAGCTAAATAATATTTAAAATTAGCTAATTGCTAGCTAAAATTATCAAAAGGTAAACTTGAATGTAATCATAACAGAAGGCTGAGTAAAAGTAAAAAGTAACTAATATCTAGCTAATTGCTAAAATAACAAAAAAGCTACAAGTAACAGAAATAAGAAGACAAAACAGGACGTACTGTGATTTTAAAAGGAACTGAATTGATTTCAAAGCACTTCTATAAAAAGAAAATTTAATTTAACATTCTGAAAAGTTTCAAAGTTGCACCATGCTGAAGTGATTGCACTCATCTCCTGAACGTTTCGATTTATAAACTGAAAAACAGCAGAAGCTTTGTTGCAAAAAAAGTGCTGACTCAGCTGAAAATATTTACACAGAGCAGTTTCAGATTAAAAATCCCTACTTATTTCTGTGTAATTAAAAAAGTAATGTTTTCAAACTGGCAGTCAGAGACACGGGATCTGTGTCGTGTGCTTTCATTTAGCCCGGAGATCACAGAAGATTCAGTTAGAGGAGCTGAGTCACCCTGGATGGCAGCGTTTCCTCTCAAACTGATTAATTATCTGAAGACAGTTTGACTTGGCAGAGACCCGAGAGAGGACGCGGGGYGTTCTGGTTATGCAATGTTGTTTTCCCGATTCGAGATCCCTCTGATCTAATTAGGTGTTTGGATGATGAGCATCATGAGGAACGCCGAAGGCTCCACATTTACTGTCAATCTACGAGGACGAGGAGAGCAAAACGGCTTCATTCGCTGTGAAGTTCCAGCAC